CACCAAGGGAAGTCGAGGGAGGGGGGGGGGGAGACACGCATGTATGAGGGATCTGCCCGAAGAGACCCGGGGAAGCCTCGACACCGCGAGGTGGCTGCTTTTGTTGCTTCTTTTCGGGTTCCATTCCGCCCCGTGCGGCCCGCCCGCTCGGGCGCGAGGGGGACACCTGCGCACGCATGTTCTCGCATCGGCGGGCACACGTAAATACAATCACTCGCCGCGGGCTGGCATGCCGGGGTCCGTGACGGAGAACGACCCGAGAGGGGAGGGCAAGGGAAACGAGGGGCAAAGGGCCCTGCCCCCGGAAATGTGCGCCATCTCACCGGGCTCCCGGGTGTGTCGCTGTCCACAAGCCCCCCCCCCCCCCCCCCGCCCCCTGGCCCGGGCCTGCGTGAGCTCCACACCGTGCACTCCGTGGGCACTTCAAGCCCGTGCCGATCGCGCCCACACGAGGCGAGATCCCGGCCGCGCACGCCCCTCAGCCGGGCCCTTCTCTCGGCAGAGGATGGGGACACGGGGGGGGGAGGCGGGCGGGCGAGGCCCATTTTTTAAGCCTGCCCCCTTACCCGGGCACACCTTTCCAAAGCCCGTAGTTCCCCGCCCGCCCGCCCTCCCCTCCTTTCCCGAGCCCCGAGCCCCGAGCCCCGAGCCCCGAGCCCATCCCCCCCGCCTCCCCCTGCCTTTCTGCCTTTCTGCCTCCATCCGCGCACGCACCGCCCCCCCCCCCTCTGGGGCCCAACATGGCAGGCATGCACCCCGCCTTCCAGGCGGTCTTGTTCTACTCGGTGCTGATGGTCATCACGAACCAGTCGCCGAGCTACCCATTGAGCAAGGACATTCACAATCTCCTTGATTGGTATCGACTCCGTCCCTCAAGGTACGTGTACACATACACACACATGCACCACGCCCATGCACCGCCACGTCCATCATCGCCATCCTCGGCACCATATCGCCGCACATTGGGCCCCTGCTTGGATGGCGCACGGGTGCCGGAACTGACCTCCTGTGCTCGGGCGCCGGCGCGCGCGCGCGCGCGCACACACACAGCTTGGCCCCGCTGAAGGTGGCCTTTTCCCAGGCGCCGGCCCCGGGCAACTCGCAGATAACCACCTTCCGGCTGCCGGGGATTCGCCCGCAGACATTGGCCATCGGGACGTTCGCCGGGACCGAGGCCCACATGCAGTGGGGGGACTTCGCCAGTTCCTTCAGCATGCTGGCCCTGACAACCCTGCCGGCCGAGGCCGGGGTCATCGAGGTGTCCAGCTTGCGGGAGATCGCCGCCACGGCCGGGCGCAAGGTCGACACGGCGGCCTTCCGCGACCAGCTGGCGCTGTGGAAGTTCAATGGCCACACCCAGTCGTCGTATCCGCGGCGCGATGGGCCGGTCTATGCCTCGGCCGAGGATTCCTTCCACCTGGTGGATCCGTACACCCGTCGGCGCATGTTCCCGGCCTCGGAGCAGGCCAGGCTGCTGGAGGTGCTGGCCCGGCCGCCGGCCGAGGCCGAGGCCACCCCGGTGGTCACCATCGACTATGGGCTCCTGCATCGGCTGCTGCCGTTGGGGCTGCTCCGGAGCGAGGCCCTAGCCTTGACCGGCAGCCCGGCGGCCGCGCTGCTGACCCTCAGCGGCTCGCCGATGTTGCGGCTGCTGCTGCGCCGGGCGCCGGCCGTGCCGCGGCTCTGCCTCAAGCCCGGGCCCGATGGGCGGCCGAGCGTGGTCGAGGATGCCACCGGTCCGGGGCTGGACCCGGTTTTGCCGGTGGCCGAGGCCGCGGCCTTCCTGGTGTCCGACATGGGGCCCCTGTCGATGGAGGGGCTGGGGCAGGAGCATGAGCTGGCCGCCGCCCGGGTGGCCCGTGCCGGGCGCCAGGCCATGCAGGCCTTCGACCTGTATGTGCTCTTCATGCGGGAGGGCGCCCCCGGGGGGGACTTCGGTGCCTTTTTGGCCGCCGCCCGTCGGCTGGAAGACGAGCACCGGCTGGCCAACATGCGCCAAGAGCTGGCCGAGGTCTCGGACGCCGGGACCGGCTTCCAGCTGGATGTGGCCACCCCGCGGTCGGCCCGGCCGATGGCCAACCTGCGGGCGGCCTTCCAGATGGACAGCCTGTACCGCGACATGGAGCGCACCAAGGGAGACTTCGCGGCGGCCCTGCAGGCCCTGGAGCATCCCGACGCCGGGGAGGCGGCCGACTCGGCGGTGGCGCCGGGCACAGCCGGCCCGGTGTCCGGCGGCGGCCTGGCCCGGGGCCTGGAGCGTCTGCAGGCGTTGGCCCCCGGGGCGGCGGTCGACTCGCCGGAGTTCCGAGCTGCCTTCGAGCAGGAACTTCGCCAATCGCTGGTCGCCCTGGCCCAGGAGGAGCTCGCGCGTGCCAATGACCAGTATCACCGCCAGGTGCAGGCCCATGCCCGGGCTCTCCAGGCCGTGGAGGACTGCTTCTTTGCCGATCGCGCGGAGGGGTACCTCCTGCGGTATGGCATGACCGCCTTCCCGACCGTGTCCTTCGGCATGCTGACGGCTCCGATCATTCGGCCGGACACCCTGCGCCGGTGGAACCCCCTGGACTACCTGGTGGCCTTGCGGTCCTCCACCACGGAGGATGGCTTCACCCCGCTGCAGTCGTCCACCGAGCGCCGGGTGTCGGAGACCCTGCACGCTTGCGTACCGGAGCTATACCGCGTGCTGGCGATCATCCGCCTGCAGGAGGGCGAGTGTGCGTTTTGTTCGACCTTCCCGAGGGCCTGTGTCATCATTGTGTTGTTGTCCTTGGCTGCTGCTGTTGCTGTAGCTACCTCTGTTGCTGTAGCTACCTCTGTTGCTGTAGCTACTTCTGTTGCTGAAGTTACTTCTGTTGCTGTAGTCGCTGTAGTTGCTGCTGTTGCTGCTGTTGCTGTAGTCGCTGCTGTTGCTGTAGTCGCTGCTGTTGCTGTAGTCGCTGCTGTTGCTGTAGTCGCTGCTGTTGCTGTAGTCGCTGTAGTTGCTGTCGCCACTGCCGCCACTGCTTCCACTGCCGCCACCGCTTCCACTGCCGCCACCGCTTCCACTGCCGCCACCGCTTCCACTGCCGCCACCGCTTCCACTGCCGCCGCCCACATGGCAGCCACTTCGCCCGCCACCACCTGTCTATGCACCACCCTCCGCCCCGGAACTGACCTGGCCCAACCACATGCGCATGTGTCCGCGGGGATGTCGGCTGGCATGGACAGGGCTCGAGGCCCTGGCGTACGCTGGCCGGGCATTGGAAATGCTCCCCGACAAGTATATCTCCCCCTCGCTGAATCCCTATGTGCTGGATGTGGATGACGAACGCTTTGCACGGGGGACATTGCTGGCCCTTCGGGCGGCCTGCCTGCTGAAGCTGGGCCTACATCAGGAGGCCTTGGAAGAGGCGAACAAGGTGCTCACGGAACTTCGCACGTCCCTGCTCACCCCGGCCGTCATCCGGTCGCTGAGCACCTACCAGCAGGACGTCATGCCCACTCCTCCGGCGGAGCCCGACGAGGAGGCCATCTACTTCCCGGCCGCGGCCGGGCTCCCGCAAAATGCGCCGGTTGTGCACAACTTCTCCGATGCCCGGGCCCTGTGCAATGCCTTTGCGGTGGCCGGCGAGGTGCTTTTCGTGCGTGGCTCCCCGCCGTCCTCGGGTCCTTTTGCCCGGCTCGCCTCTTTGCTCGCCTCGATTTGTGCCACTTGCTGCTGGATGCTGACCAGTGGTGCGACAGTCCTCCCAGCAGTACCCGGAGGCGTTGGCCTCCCTGCGCTTTGCCATCGCCCTGCAGCGCATCCTGCCGAACAATGCCTCCTTCTTGACTCCGGGCTTCGGCGGCGACGCCAGCCTCCGGCATTTGGAGGCTCCCTACTTCCGATGCAACCGGGAGAACATCCACGCGCAGCGTTCTCCCATGGCGGGTCCCAGGGCGGCGGCGGCGGCGGCGGCGGCGGCGCCAACGCCAACGGCCACCGGTCCGCCCGCGCCTCCGCCCCCACGCGCCTGACTGCCGGCCTCCCATTGCGCATGCATGCCCATGGCCGTGCCCCTCCCACCACCGCATGCAATAGATTGAGGCCTGACCGGCGGGCCGTGTGCCCGTGCGCACGCATAGACATGATAATATAGACGAGTAGGCGCACGCATGCACGCGCGCACGGCCGCACCCGAGCACATGCGCATGAGCACACCATCAAGGCACAGCCGAATGCCATGACGGCCGGCAGTCCATCCTGCACCGACAAACACACGCCTACACACAAGCACACGCACAAGCACACGCACACACAAGCACACCAGCAAGTTGGCTGGCGGGGAGGGCGGCGGGGGGGAGTGCAGGGAAAAAAGCAACAGCCTCGTGCAAGCTCGGGCGCCCTCCCACGTCGGAGGGCAGCCGCGACCTTGTCTTTGGACATGCGGGGAAGAGCGGCACTAGCGGGCGCGGGCGTTGCCCGGCGGTGTGTCCTGCGCGTGGCCCCCGGGAGGGGGGGGCAAGGACACGGCGGCGGCTACGGCGGCGGCGATGACGACGACGACGACGACGGCGACGACGATGACGACGACGAAAGCCCACACGGCAATGGATATAAGCCGAAACCCGGTCACGGGTATCCATCGGGGCCCTCTTAGCTCAGTGGTAGAGCGTCGCTCTCGTAAAGCGAAGGCCGGGTGTTCAATCCACCCAGTGGGCACTTTCTCTTTTGCCCCCTGCGGG